GTGCCTTGTTTCAATTGGAAAACAAATATTCACAGGTTGAAGAAAAATTTCCTTCCCAGGAGGGTTCAAAGACAGACAAGCTTCATGTAATGCCGGGAAACTGAACGACAAGGGAAGGAAAGAGATCTTTAAATGGCATTACTGAGCCTCCAAATGCTGCTCGGGTCTACATTCCTTACATTATTACTCAGCTCAAGGGATTAAAAGCTTTTTGAAAAGACTAGCACTTTTCCATAGAACTAGCAAGCAGGGAGATACCACAGATGACCCAGCTGAAATACACTGAAGTCAGAGACATTTGCCTTTTCGAGTAATGACAACACACTCAGAATAGAAGAGGACACACTGGCTACTGAACTACACAAAGACCCATAAGAAAAAATTAGGGCTGACCAGAGTGGGTGAGACCAAACTAAGGTGCACAATTGCTCTTCCTTGATCTTTGAAGCATGGGAGAAAGTGGGACAAGAATCCAGAGGATGTGCAAACCTTTATCCAATTCCAGTACAGATATTCTGGAAGGATCGAGAGAAAGCTACTCACATAGTCCCTTGATCCAAAGAGTCTGTATCTCATTTTTAATGCTTAAGTAAGTCTGTGGCAAATACTGTAGAGAACACAGAATTAGACATGATTCCTGAAAAAAAAAAAACTGCATTCAAAGTAAGGCAGACATCTTCAGGTGACACACCATGTGGGATATTTCCAATACAGAGATATAAAGGATGGAGATATACATGTATACACACAAACACACATAAATACATATACACACATATATGATAGTCGACTTCCAAAAAAAGTCTAAGAGCCATAATTTTAAGAGATTTCCTTCTTTTTCTACCTCTAGCAAGTAAATAATGATGTGAGATCCTCTTGGGGAAAAGGGAAGGACAATCATCTCTCTAATCTTCCTAACAACCCTGAGGCAGGTGTTATCTCCAATTGGCAGGTAAGTCTGGCTGAGGCATGGAGGAAGGATAGGCGTGTGCAGCTCCATCTTTGAACTGGCTGGGAAAGAATTAAAGCTGGTGGCTGCAGAACCAGCAGATACACAAATTCATCTTGCTATCATGATTTTTTAAAACACATCAAGTGACACCTTTTAAACCAAGGACAATGGTTTCTATTCCTTCTTCTCATCTGATTCCTCTTTTGGAACTTGCTGTTCAAGGAATCCTAGGCTCGGTAATGAGGACTCTGAAAGCCAAGAGCCCTAGATCCTACTGCAGAAACCCCAGCATGACTTTCTGTGAAACTCCTAATAAATCATTCAGTTTTGCCTTGAAGCCATTGAATAACAGGAAATAATCTGGAAGTTAGTGTCTCAAATCATTACCCCGTGCACCCACATGGGAGTACTATTTACCCTGAGAATTGTTAAAATTCCACCCAGCAAGTCCACAGTAAATTGGCATCTCGTCCCTGGTGGGAGACGGCTCACATCAAAGTTGTGTTAACTTTTAAATGTCCATTTTCAACCTGCCTTCCCCAAGCCCTTCTAGTAATTATCTTCTGAAAATCCAGTTCAGATCCACTAGGCCTCCTAACAGACCACAATGAGGAAAACAGTGGGTGAAAATAAGAGCCAGAAGCACCTAAAGGATCTATTATACAGAGTGTGGTGGTGTGTCAGCTTGGCAAATAAAGCCTTGGGAGGCAGGCCTTGATTTCTTTATGTTCTGTGAAGTGTGAACACACTGACAAGAAGAAAGAGAATGACCATTTATTGAGCATCTACAACGTACTAGGCACAATGTCATGCCCTTTTCCTATTTCCATGTATCCTCCCAACATCCTCTACATAATAAAATTAACCTTACTTGATGGATGTGGGGCAGCTGCAGCTCAGGTTATGGGACCTGACTGAGGTCATTCGGCTAGAAAGTGGCTGAGTTAGGATGCATACATGTCTTTGCTTCTCAGAGCTCAAGCTCTTCTCACACCATATCCAAAATGTCCTAAGCAAGAACGCCAAAATGTTTTAATAAAAAGCCCATGGAACAGATATTTCCTCTCGATTGCTGTGGGGTGAGGCTCCTCTCCCACAAGCAACAGATGAGAGATTGAGCCGGGTGTTAGAGACCCAGTGGGTAAGGCTGAACTCACAGCCTGTTTGTCTAAAGACGGTGTTTAAGACTTCATGGCAACTGTTACCAAGTGAGGGCTGTTCCCACACACCTGGACAGGAAGAGTTTCTTTAGACCAGGAGAGTGGAGAGGAGGAAATTAGTATTTATTAAGAGGTAATAGATCTTAATAATGAAGAGCACGGACCTCTAGAGACAGACTGCCTGAGTTTAAATCCCATCTCCTATTTTTTTGCAAAAGAATCCAATCGCATGTGCACGTGAGGGTGTCTCGGTGTGGGGGGCAGTGGAGACGGATGAGCAGGAGTGGCCGTGTGTTGGGGTTTGCTGAAGTTGGTACAAGGGGTATCCTGTATGATTCCATCTTTGTGTATGTTTGAATTTTCCCATAACAGAAGCATAAAAATCAACAAACTTGGTGGGGCCGGCCTGATGGCGTAGTGGTTAAGTGAGCACACTCCACTTCCGCAGCCTGGGTTTGGAGGTTCAGATCCCGGGCATGCACGGAGGCACGGCTTGTCAAGCCATGCTGTGGCAAAAAGAGGAGGACTGGCATCGGATGTTAGCTCAGGGCTAATCTTCCTCACAAAAAATAAATAAATAAATAATAAGCAAACCTGGGCTCCTCCACTTACTAGTTGTGCGACATTGACAACTTTCTGGGCCTGCCTCAGTTTCCTCGTCTGTAAAATTGAGTACTAACAGCACTTACCTCATAGGGCTGTATGAGAAATAAATTAGTTAATACATGTAAAATGCTGAGCTACTATACTATTTATAGAGCAACTACTACGTTCCAGGCACTAGCATTTTTACAAATATACTTTTTTTTTTACTAGCATATTTACAAACATACTCTTTCGACTGAATCCTCCTAACAATCCTATGAGGCAAAGTAACCTCCATTTTCACACGAGGAAGTGGACTCAGAGGGGTTCCAGCAGCAAAAATGCATAAAAGCCCAGAATTGCTCTAAAAGCCTTGTTTTCTAATAGATGGCCCACTTCCCTAAAAGTGACTCTACCAGTTATTTAGATAGGGAAACTGAGGTTCCAGGGGGTTTAGTAATCCACAGTTCTGACTAGTAGGCTGGGAACTTAATACAGATCAGGCAATTATAAAACGTGCAGCCTGGGCTCTTGCTGCTGCAGTGGACAGGCCGTCCTTGCACCAGCCTCTCACATCCACTCTTGGGGCGGGAGTGGGAAGAACAGCAGCCACGGCGAACGCTGTGAAGAGCAGGAACGGCCACAGGAGCCCCCTCCTCCCTCGACCCCTGAATGAGCTGGTCCTTGGGGCAGTGCCTCAGTCTTTCCCAGCTCAACAAGCACTGAATCTTGTTAGAGAACCAAATAAGGGGGAGGAAATAGAAACCTAAGAGGAACTTGATGCTAACAGCCTCTGCATTTGATAAATATTTTAGTAAATCTCCTTCCAGAGCCATGGGCACCTGACTGAGCGTAAGGCGGCGCGGTGTCTCCCCCGTGACGGAGCTCCGTCAGCCCCGCCCTTCCCAGGATCTCTACGCATCAGCAGGAACCCTTCCTTTCGACAGCTGCTCAGTCTTCCTGAGAGGCTCCAAGAGGCCCCGAGTCTTCTGTAACAGCCTGTGCGATCAGTGAGCAGCCAACAAGATTAGAAAAGTGCTTCTCTCCCCACAAATCCCTCTGTAATCAGCACTGACAGGTGGACAGACACACTAGGAACAGTTACCAGGGATCTGATTTCCAAAAAGCAGTGGCGCCATCGGGAACCAGGACTCGGCTAACAATGCCCTTAGAATACAATGCAGCAACCCTTCCAGCATGGCCAATCTGCATCAAAAACTCTGCTGGACTGCCAACAATTTGCACCCTTTCATCCAGGATCAGAACCAAACCTGACCTTTGCCTCCAGGACGAATTTTGTGTTGCTTTTTGCTAACATAACTCTGTAAAAAGCACTTGAGGTCGTATTCCAATTAGATCTCTTCTTTTGCTAAAACAAACCAATTACCACACCTTTTCTGCCCCTCTCAAGATTCTCTTAATCTTAAGATGATCCAGTCAAAAAAGCAAAATTTTACAAGTGATTCACAGCAGGGAGGGAAGGGGGGAGGTGAAGAAAGCCTCAGGGGAGAGGGATGGAGGTAAGTGGGACACTGCCAGAGAGGGAGCCCCACAGACAGACAGCGCCTTCCTGCGTTTCCGCAGAGAGTGAGGCTGCCTCCTGGCAAAACAAGATAAACATCCAGTTTAAGGCTATTATCTCCTTTATTCAAAAAATAAATATTTCACTTTTGAATCGACATATTTCAAATCACATTAAGCACAGAGAAGAAATAAGTCCCTTTGGAAATTGTGAACATGTGTAGGAAAGAGACATGTTCAAAACAATGGGGATGGGGTGAGCGCTGATTCCAACTGATTCATGACCCAGAGATTCCTGCTCTCACCACGTGGAGCTACACATCGATTTTAGGAGAGAAAAAGAAACACACACACTGCTTTGAAATCTGAAAGGCACATGAAGTGGACCATAAGGTGTATGGCACGTTCACTGATAAAACGTTCCCTATTCCCTCCCAAGAAAAGTGGAGAAACTTTAATCAAGTCAAAGACCAGAGAAGACAGGGTGCTCTGCTTAGAGCTTAGCCTCAGGAACATCTCTGAATATGAAAGCCATTTTTCTTTTGCTTGCCCCCTCCCACACCTCCGCTCCCTGCTGGGGGAGTCCGCACGGCTGCGGGGCTCACTCGGTGATGGTGGGGCGTGTGGCCACGTAGACGAACACCACGATCAGGAGCACGACGACAGCCAGCGTGGGCAGCACCACCGTGGTGATCTGCTGCCGGGCCTCCTGCATGGCCTGCTTCCGCTCCTTCTTGTCCTTGGACGTCTCCTTCTTGGGCTTCCCTTTGAGCTGCCGCATCTTCCCTCGGGGATGCTAGGAGGGTGCGTCCAGAGAGCGTTTTGAAGGAAGGGCCACACTCCTCCGGTGAAGGTGCAGAACCTCCTGTAGAGAGAACTGTGATCAAAAACAAATGGAGTAGAAGGAAAAAGACATCGCAAAGTTCAAGGCAAATGCTCAACTAGGAAAAATGTCTGCAACTTATAAGATGAGGGGTTAAGAACAAGAGAGGTCACACAGCAGAGGTCAGCCCCTCTAGGTAGGGGGCAGTGGGGACCAGCTGGACACGCCCCAGGGTTCCACCTCCGTCAGCACGTCCCAGCCCACCTGCATGGGTGTACTGTGAAGAACGGGTCACCGGCTGCGGAGAGAGGGCCTCAGCTCCACAGGCAGCTGGACAAGGCCCTGGATACCATATACACATAATCACTTTCTGTTGTGCCATGACAGGAAAGGACTGGAAAGCACTAACTATGCTGCCTCCACTCGGAGGAGGGAGGCACTTTCTCCCTTCCAAGGCTCTACCTACTTACGTTGTTGTTCTAAGTTCCACAATCTCTCCAGCCAATCTCCAGTGTCGAATCGCAGGCAACCACAGAAGAGCAGTGTACACCAATATTCTCCTAACAAGGAGACTTCTGTAAGAAGATTTTGTGTGCCCAGTTTTGCCCCAGAGCAGTGGATGGCCTGTCACCACCCTGATGAGAAAGGCAACCTGCAGATTCCAGGCATGTGGCTCCCTTCCTGCCCAAGCCCAGGGGTCTGATCACAGGCCAGGTCAGCCTCACTGGGGCTAAAGAGGGCCCAGAGGCACCAACTTCTCTGTCTCCATTGGCTCCTTTACCCACTCTCCAAACCTTCCTGAGCAGCTGCTATGTGTCGGGCACTGCTCGAGGAGCTGAGGAGGAGGTGGAAGACTGGGTTCTGTCCTCACAAACCCACAGTCTAGGGGTGCGGGATAGGTTACAGGCAGAGTGGAATCTGGGTCAGACAGACAATGCAGGGAGACTGGCTGAGGCTGTGGTCCTGCCACCCACTCAGCCTAGCATTCTCATAAATTCTGCGCCCTGTGGAGGTGCTCAGGTGGTAAAGCAGTGCTGTCAGGGGCCTGGGGAAGGAATTAAAAATCCGTGGATAACTACAGAGCAACAGCTCCATACAAGTATGATTCTTAGCTTTAAGCAACAGAAATAGACTTTGGCTGATTTAAATTGAGGAGTTTATTTAGAGGCCTTTGGCTCCTCACAGGATCCCCACAAAAGCCAGAGGACCAGGCTCAGGAAATGAGCAGGACAAGAGAGCTGTGCAGCCATCACTGGAGCCCAACTCATACCAAGGGCCAGGAGGATGCTACAGGTTGTATCATCACCTGGACCTGCCACTGGGGCAGGAGGCACTGAGGCCACCGCTACTGCCCCTGGAAACTAGACGTAGCTGCTGTCACTGTCTCCAGAATGAGTTCTCCAGTGCGGCACCAGCTCCCAGGTGCATCTGACCAGCCAAGCCGAGGCCCAGTATACCCACAGCCTAGCCTTCCAACCTCTACACTAGGTGGAGTGTTTTCTAAACACAGTGAAGAAATGGGGGTTGGATATTAGGCAGAGAAATAAAAAAGATAAACGTCCCTCATAATATCCGGGGAGACTAGCATGGAGTCAGGTGCTCTCAGAGGCAGAACCAGTGGATGCCAATATTCCTCTAACAAGGAGACTTTTGTAACAAGATTTAGTGCGCCCAGTTTTGTCCCAGAGCAATGGATGGCCTGTCACCACCCTGATGAGAAAGATGACATTTACACCTAAGTGACTGTGTTAAGTGACAGAATATGAAATGTAAATTCCAAGTCAGGAAAGGTCTTGTATGATACCTTCCTGTTGGCAGACAGATCCTAATCTCTTACCACTCCTCTCATCCCACATGGACCCCATCCACACTCAGGCAGAGTTTCTTATGGTGCAAGATGACGAATATTATTGCACTGGGATGAGATAATGCCAGCCAAATGCAAATTTTAAAGTTCAGGGCAGCCCCATTTGGGCAAATGTACAATTTCCATTAGGTTTTTAAAAATAGTCACTGTTACTTTCTTAAGACCTGACAGGGGTAGGAGCCTCTGGCTTTACCAATTCTCCTTTTCAAATCTTTCAAAGAACTTTCAGACAGACCTGGGTTCAAAGCTAGGACACAGCATTTACTGGCTGAATGGCTTCAGGTAAGTCACTTAACTTCACCGTGTCAGTGTCATCATCTGCACAATAAGAACGACTTCCCCCATAAAGGATGACTGGGAGGATTTGAAAAGAAAATGCACCTGTAGGTGGTGCTCTGCCCGCCAGCAGGGAGGCAGTAGAGGCTAGATGACCCAGACAGAGCCGCCTTCCTCTCTCCCCACCACTTACAGTGGTCCCCCCTTATCCTTGGTTTCACTTTCTGAGATTTGCGACCCACGGTCAACTGTAGTCTGAAAACATTAAATGGAAAATTCCAGAAATAAACAATTCATAAGTTTTAAATTGCATGCTGTTCTGAGTCACATGATAAAATCTAGCACCATCCCACTCCCTCCTGCCTAGAATGTGAATCATCCCTTTGTCCAGCATGTCCACACTGTACACGCTACCCGGCCATTAGTCACCTAGTAGTCGTCTTGGTTATCCAATCAACCATCCCAGTATCTCAGCGCTTGTGTTCAAGTAACCCTTATTTTACTTAATTATGACCCCCAAAGCTGAAGAGGAGTCATGCTACCAATTCAGATATGCCAAAGGGAAGCCGTAAAGTGCTTCCTTTAAGTGAAAAGGTGAAAGCTCTTGACTTAATAAGAAAAAAAATCATATGCTGAAGTTGCTAACATCTTCGGTAACTTTCATTACAGTATACTGCTATAATTGTTCTATTTTCTTATTAGTTATTGTTGGTACTCTCTTACTGTGCTTAATTTATAAATTAATCTTTATCATAGGTATGTACGTATAGGAAAAAACATAGCATATATAGGGTCCGGTACTATCCGCGGTTTCAGGCATCCACTGGGGTCTTGGAACGTATCTCCCAGGGAAAAGGAAGAACTACTGTACCTGCTCTGTGAGCCTAGGCAGAGCTGACCGAGCTTCTCTAAGCCTCAACTACCCTCGGGAGGTGGCCATGATGGTGGTGCTCCGCTCGCAGGACCATGGTGAGAATGAGACCAGAATATGGTAACGTAGCGCTTGACGTAGAGAAGGCACTCCATCCGTGTTAGCGGACACTACAGAACTTCTTAGACCTAGCAGGCTTATTATTTCCATTTTAGACATGAGGGAACCAAGGAGCAAGAGGAAAAACGTCTCGCCAATGGTCACTGAGTCTGTAAATAGTATCAATGGCTTCTAACAGAGCAATGGACAGCATCCCTTGTCCAAAGCTAAGAGCCACAGTCCATTCTCTCTCTGACACAGCTTTACAAAATTGTTTAAAAAGAGACAAGCCATTAGCAGCACTTTGATTTGTAGCCATTTCCCCATGGAGCTAATGGCCTGTCAGGCTTGTGGAAAAAAGGAGGAGCCCACTGTAGCCCCTTACAGGACTGGCCGCAGGCAGGCAGCACTGGCGGCCCCAAGTTAACAAGGGCCATGGCAGCTCTGGCTAACAGCGAGGGCCCTGACTCTCATCCTGCTCCTTTAGCTGCTGTCCGCATCCTCGCACGTATGTGTGGTTGACACTCAAAGGCACCAGCCTCCGTGGTGACCAGCTCTTAACACTGTAAGATGCATTCAGAAGTTCCCAGAGGCTTGGAAAAAAGCCTCAAGTTGCTGGGGACACTGCAGGTCTGCTCAGGATTTAAAGGACAAACACACAGGTGTGAATCCTGGGTTCTTCATTAGGCTACAGTGGGCAGCCTCCCCGCTCTCACTTACCTGTGGTATGGGCCTCAAACCACAGCCCCTCAAAGATGGAGGTGGGGAGGAGTCAGGGAAAACATCTCTGAGACGACAACTGAGGACAGGGAAAACATCTCTGAGACGACAACTGAGGACAGGGAAAACATCTCTGAGACGACAACTGAGGACAGGGAAAAGGGACCAACCAGGACAAAGCTGCAGAAGAGCAGCAGGCAGAGGGAGTGGAAGGAACCAGGAGAGGGACAGGAGATGAACCTGGAGAAGGCGGCAGAGGCCGGGTCATCCAGGGGCTCACAGACCATGGTGGGGAGTTGGGTTTTATTCCAGGAGCAGCATGAGGCACTGACAGGCTTCACACAGGGAGGCGCATGTTTTAAAAACCTCCTTCTGGCGCGTCCGTGGAGAGAGGGACACAGAGGAATGAAAAGGAGGCGCTTGGAGCAGGCCAGGAGCGGTGGTGGCTTAGACCTGGGGAGGGGCAGAAGTGACGGAGAGGAGGATGGAGTCGGGTTTTATTTTGGAGGTACAGTGGATAAGACCTAATGACAGATTGGACGTGGCGTGTGAGGCAAAGGGGGAAATCACAGGTGGACCTGTGGTTTGGGCTGGATGGTGATGCTGCCTCATGAGATGGGGGAGAATCGGGGTGGGGAGGATTTGAGAAAGAACATTAAGTGCTCTGTTCACACCTATCCATGTGTGCGGATGCCTATTAGACATCGCCATGGAAATATCAGGCAGGCAGCTGAAGAAATGAGTCAGGAGCTCGGTCTGGGCTGAAGATCTATATTTGGAAGTCATCAGCTATTGGAGGAGGTGAGCTCACTAAGGGCAAGGCAGATGGAGAAAAGGGCCCAGCCAAGCCCTGTAGCACCGACAGTCAGAGGGCAGCGGGGAGGGGCAAGCGAAGGAGCCTGGGGAGGAGAGGCAGGTGAAGAAGAGAAACAGAGCGGAGTCCTGGGGACCAAGAGTCAAGAAGGGCACTGCTTCAAAACGCTCCCGAGAGACAATTCGAGTGAAGATGAGGAAGCATCTACTGCATTTGGTAACACGGAGATTTGACATGAGTAATTTCAGTGGAGTGAGCGGTGGGGGTTCAGACTAGGGCTACTAAGAGCAGGGCCCACAAACTTGTTACTTGTCTGAGAAGAGAGCGAGCTTGTGCCACAGTGTAAATGAACACATTGCTTCCTTCATCGAGAAAATTTTGCCATGAAAATAAAA